TTTTTTTTTTTTTTTTTTTTTTAACCAGGAGATGGATATCATCTCTTTTTGTGAAAAGGATGCTTAAGAGTATTCATTAAGTTTATTCTCTGGTGTTCTTTAGATAACCAGGCAATTCCTCACATAAACTGGCAAATTTCTTTGTATTTCTTTTCTGAAGCATTAATAATTTTATTATGAAGGTAGGATGACATAGTTACAAATAAATGCTTTTTTATGGCTTTGATACTTCATTTTACTGTACAGGATTTAACAAATGAAAAATAATTGTTCAGTTAGTTCCAGTGGCTTATAATACATATTACTTATTTTGTAACTGAATATTCAGCCATTCTTACTGCCATTGGTCTTCCTTTTACAAGCTGTCCTGTCCATGATCAACTTCAGAACTTTTGTAAAATCTCATGAATTAGACATTGTAAGCCAAAAATATTACAGATTAGCTTAATTGCTAGATAAACCTTCAGGATAATTTGGGGGGAAAATGTGTGTATAACGTGAAAGTGAAAAAATTGTAAATTGAAGAAATAGCATAACTTTGAAGTCAAATGAGCAGGCCATGCAGCTTTCCTGAGTATGCAGAGAATCAAAATACAGTAACTTGTTAAGATGTGACAAGAGGGAGGGTGAGAAATCAGCATTATTTTATTTTTTTTTTTTTAGTCTGTCATAAATCTGTGAGTGGGGCAACACGGAAGTAGGAAAAGAACTTTAGAGTTGCTTGTGAAACTCCTTATAAAATTCCTTCAAAAAAGCTGATACGCTTAGCTGTGGTATGGCAGAATAAAACACAAAATCTGAGGTAGGAAAGAAAAATGACAATTTTTAGTACAAAAAGTTTAAGAAGGTTACATACCAGAATTCAAAGCTAAAAATGTGTTAATGTATTTTGTAACTAAGGTGGAAAACACAGTGAATGACGTCAAAATGAAACTGTATAAAATGAAGTTTACTGAAAAGAGTTTGCAGGACTGATGTAGCTGTTCCTGAAGATGACAAAAGACATTTGGAGGACTCTAATTAAACTAGAAAATTTGGAGATTCTTGTCAAATCTGTGTGTGTTGGGATAAATAGAAAGGTGTTTGTTTTTTTTTTTTTTCTTTTTATAGCAGTTTGTCTGAGTTACTTAAAGCAACAAGAGCTCAATGTCAGGTTTTTACAAAGCCTGCACAACCAGCGGTGTGAATGTAGTTGAAAGTACAGCAGCCTCACTGTTCCACTGGGGCTTTAAGAATAAAGTTTCAGGAGTATTTGACCAGTTCTGCTCTTTTCAGGGGAGAGAAAGGGAAATGTACTTCGTAATACTTTACAGAATGATTAGGTTTTGATTTAGCAGAAGTACTTCAAAAGAATGGAGTGCATTTCTTTCTTACACTAAAAATAAGAAGTACCTGCTGTAGAAAGGGCGTATTGTACGAAACTTGCTGCAGTGGATGTGGGAGCTTTCAAGTCTGACAGTTTAAGTAGTGAAGATGAAAGTGAGGACAGTTCTTGGGCAGGGGACTTCAAGAGGAATGTGATTCATGGGACATAGCTACTAGCATAATTACCAGTGCAGCTGCCATAGTAACTTCTGCCAGTACTAAAAAATCTGTCATGTCCAATGCTCTGTTGGTCATAGTGTAAGTGATAAAGATGGGAGCAGCAGAAGTGTGACACCTTGTTCCACTTGCCAACTTCAGACCAGCATACACGGATGGAGCTATTTCTGCTAGGTTTCAAACTGACACCAAAACTTCACAGGATTTCCTAAAGTGTTTAGGCTGGGCTAAAATTTTGGAGTTGGAGGTGGTAAGATTTTCTTTTGTGTTTTCTGCAAATAATAGTAAAAGGGCAGGGATTCAGAGGGACTGAATTACTTTGATAATGAGTAAAACCTGTTGAATTCAGGCAAGAAAAAACCCCCAACCCTTAAACATAAATACCTTCTGTTTTTACACTCTCATTACACAAGGTTTTATTTCAATAATAAATTCATTTGTTTCAGTATTGTAATAAATAGGACTTCTCTACCTAAAGGTCAGACTTTTCATTTATTAATATTTGTTTCAAATTATGTTGAATGGAACATTTCAGATTTGATCCGAAATGGAATTTGGAGTTAGGAGCTCTTGAAAAATTTTGGGAGACGAGGGATAAGGAATGTTCTGCTAGACCTAGGCTTCCTTTTAATGTAAATACTAGTACAAATGAGAAAAATCTTTTACTGGGAAGTGGAGGACTTCTGAAATACTAACCCCAAACTAATGTTTTCTCTCACTAACGTGTCATCAAAGCTCACTTTTCTAGCACTCAATAAGTGCAATTTCCACTTAAAATTGTTAAAGTGAATTGCCAAAGGGTCATGCATCAGTCTAGTGTCAAAGATGGGTCTGGAATTCAGGAACTCTGATTTTTATAGCCAGAGCAGGCTATTTAACTGCCTAGCCCCAACATCTGCATTAGCAGATCATAAAATTTCATCTGTGCAGTAGAAATAATCACTCTGTCCTATTTAAGAGAATACTTAGCTTCCTTCCTAGCTGTTCTGAGTATCAGCAACACATACATACACGCACGCAACCTTCCTAATTTCATTCAGTCTTCCTTACCCTCTTCAAAGAATTGCCAGGTTTGCTCTTCTCAACCTCTCATCTGCCTGTTGCTTCACTTTTGTCTTTTCCACCTCCTGTTTCTTAAGAACTTACCTCTTCCTACAGCTTGTTTGGCATTCTTGAGCAAAGGCTTTTGTGGCTTGATTCAGAAAAGAGATAAAGAGGGGAATCAAAAGTTCCAGTATACAAAGTTATCACAAGATTGTTAATTATTTGATGAAAATGTTCTGTAAGCATCCCTGACTGTTGCCCCTGTTGACTGCTGTGGTACAATTCCTACAGACTTAAATTCAGGCACAACGTGAGTCCTACGGTAGTCCTACTGTAGAATTGGGCTCTACTATAGAGCGAGACTGCCTACACTCCTCCCAAGCACCTCCTGACTGCAAACAGAGCGATAGTAAGTAGTGTGGTTCTGTAGCTTCCATGTCTGGCATGTATATATATATGCACTGGGGCTCAGCCCTAATAAAGTGTCCTTTTTTGTGGCAGTTACATTGCATGTTTTCTTCGTCATAGATGGCTA